CTAATCTCCTTTTGGTCCCACGAATTTAAAACTGCAGTTCACCTATAAACCGACACCCTAAAAAAATCCTAAACTTCAAATCACCATACACCAAATTATACAACACTTCCCTAACTTACACAAAACTAAAACCATGTAGGTGTTTGTGATTTCCAAGTTTGGGCCCATATGTCTCTTCCAAACTACATCCTCGTTCAACCAAATGTATCTTTCTTGGATACTCTTCTTCCAAATCCGCATATAAGTGCTATTATCCCACCTCTCAATGCCTCTACCATTCATGTCATGTCGAATTCGATGAACATGTCTTCCTATACACATCAAAATTTGAATCCATCTCTACATTATCATCAACTGAATCATTCATGTCCACCATTTCGCCCACACCGCAACCCTATCGGCCTCTAACTATCACTACTCATAGCTCTCCATTTTCAAAAAATACACCTACACATCTCTCATAAATCAACCTACTACTCCATCCTCCTTATGAACCTTAGAACAATCCGTTGACCTTCTAGAAACATCTCCAGTCCGTTACCAACCACACCATCTACTCCATCCTCACCCACTTCCCCATCACCAATAAATGCACCCTCGACTACTAATTCTCAACAGTCTCCTTCCCCATCCAACACACGACCCCAAAGAACAAGCAAAGAAACCATATATATTTTAATCCAAATTTTATCAACACCACCACCCTTCATCCTCTACCACCTACACTTGAACCCATAACTCCAACTCAAGCTCTTAAAGATCCTTAATGGTGCATCGCCATGTACTCCTAGTTTAATGCCCTTCTCTAAAATCAAACTTGGGAACTTGTACCTCCTAACTCTCACACACCAATTGGTTGTAAATGGGTCTTTCAAATCAAACGTAATCCTAATGGCTCCATTCTAAAATACAAAGCTCGTCTTGTCGCCAAGGGTATTCTACAAAAATATAGGAAAATACTATTTTGATTACTTTCAATCTAGTTACAAAACTTGTGACCATTCACACCGTACTTTTCATTGCTCTCTCCAACAATTGGCCATTATGTCAACTTGATGTTAACAATGTCTTCCTTCATGAGGATGTTTTCATGGTCTAGCCACTTGGATATGTGAATCCTCAATTTCCTCATCATATCTCCAAAATTAAAAATGCTCTATATGGACCAAAACAAGCTCCAAGAGCTTGGTACATTGAACTCTCCACTTTCCTTCTTCAATTTGGATTTCGAAAATCCTTAGCTGATGTATCTCTCTTCATATATCAGTAACAACTTACAACCTATTATTTTATGGTTTATATCGATGATATTGTTCTCACAAGCAATGATTCCAATTTCCTTTATCACTTCACTCAGTCCTTGAGAACAATGAAACAACCCAAAAACACGACCCAAAAATTTTCGTTTTTCCATATAATCAAAACCATAATATAAGTATCATAACATAAACACATGCGATGTATCCCCAAAACATATAAAATATTGTGCGGAAAACTGTATCATACTACATCAACCCAAAACATCAAGAGACATCCCCAGGATAAAAGTTATGCTGCGGTGTGTGCGATGCTGTCACCCCGAACTCTTCCCTTTGCTTGCGGAAGTACCTGAAACCAAAACTGAAACTGTAAGCACGAAGCTTAGTGAGCTCCCCCAAACTACCACACACCATACAATAACATATAAACACATATTGGGCCTTGCCCACTGCATCGGGCCGAAGCCCGGAAACTGCATCGGACCGAAGTCCGGAACTGACTGGGACCTTGTCCCCTGCATCGGACCGAAGTCCGGAACTACTGCATCGGACCGAAGTCCGGAACTAACTGGGACCTTGTCCCCTGCATCGGACCGAAGTCCGGAACTTAACTGCATCGGACCGAAGTCCGGAACTGACTGGGTCCTTGTCCCCTGCATCGAACCGAAGTCCAGAACTAACTGCATCAGACCGAAGTCCGGAACTGTCTGACTGAACATGGCATGGCATAACACATCAACTAGCATAACACATATACGACATGCTACATCGGGCCGTGGCCCGGAACACATAGTACTTAACACATAAAACATAGCACACACAAATCCTGTTCGAACCACGGAGGCATCGAACATACCAACTACTGCATCGGACCTAAATCCGGAAACTACTGCTAACTGACCGGGCCGGCATTGTGGCCTTAGACCCGTTCCTACTGGAAGGAAACTCACCTCGTAAGCTGGCTGCTGAGCGTGTGGCTCGGAAAGCTAACGGCGGCTGCTCCTGAATCTCCTCGGCTACAAGTCCATAAACACACTCAATCAAATACTAAACACTGCGCTTGGGGTAAAATGACTCTTTTACCCTTGGTCAAAGTCAACTCTCTTTTGGGCTGACTCGCCGAGTTGGCCACCCAACTCGCCGAGTCCTACTCTCACTTTTCACTTCTACTCACTGCTACTTGTCGAGTCTGGCATCGACTCGACGAGTACCCTCTTGATCCAAGAACTCAGACAATCTTCATCCGACTCGCCGAGTCGTATGAACAGACTCGACGAGTTGTTCTTGATCCCAAGAAGATTGCATTGGACTCGCCGAGTTGCATGAACAAACTCGTCGAGTCCCTCCATCACTGAGTCCACTCTCAACTCGTTGAGTCCACTCTCTAACTCACCTCGTACACTCGACACTGATAAAACTGAAGGACTCGGGACTCGCGACCCGACTCGTCGAGTCATTCTTCCGACTCGCCGAGTCGCCGCCATGCAACTGATTTCTACTTGATTTTGTTTGAATCCAATGCATACAATTGATAGATCTGAGTCCAATAAGTTGTTTTACCACGTAAAGTTTCCAACTTTACGTGCACAACCTCATGAATAAGGGAAATAAGGCTAAAAGATGCATAAAATGGGTAGATCTATGGTTATCATGCGATATAACTCCAAAAAGACAGTAGATCTGGGCTCTACAACACCCCAACATTCAGATCTGTAGATATATCGACTTGATAAGACGTTCATGCAAGTGCAAGGCTTGGAACAAGCATCAACTAGCTCTTAGGAGAGCTCTAATGGAAGTTTAAAGCATATAACAAGATGGGACTCCGAAAATACCTCTATTAGCTCTGATTTGGCCTTGGATCTTTGCACTACAACACTTCTCCTTGCTTCTTCCTTCTTCTCCTTCTTCACACCTTCACAAACTGGCACCAAAACACATATAAGCTCTTCAATGGAGGTTTGGGGCTCTAACACTGTGTTCTCAGGGTGAGGGAGGCGAGAATGGGGGCTATAAGGTGGTATAAATAGTGGGCAACCCGGGGATTTTAGGGTTTCACCCAGACAGATGGACTCGCCGAGTCGGGGATATGGACTCGTCGAGTCCCCGACTCACGCGTGCCCTCAGACGCGACCCGACTCGGCGAGTCAGGCTAGAACTCGCCGAGTCCCTCTAGAAAACTCACTATAATTACCAATAATTCAACGTACCGGGAACGGGTCGTTACAAACAAGTTCTTTGTCAAAGATCTAGGGATGCTCCATCACTTTCTAGGTGTTAAAGTAATCTCTACTCCTACAAGTCTCTTCATGTTTCAACATCATCACATCCAATACATTCTCCATCAATTTCATATGGATGGTGCTAAAGATGTTATCATTCCTCTTAGTGCCACAGAACCATTGATCCTTAATGATCCATCTCCCTCGGTTGACACCACCCCTTACCACAAACGTATTCGGTATCTCTAATACCTTGCCTTAAATCGCCTGATATATCCTTTGCCATCAAAAACTCTCTTAATTCATGCATGCTCTTAGGCAAACTCATTGGCAAGCCTTGAAACAGGTCCTACGATACTTAAAAGGCATTATCCACCACAATCTCTTTCTCAACCGAAACTCAACTCTCACTTTCTAGCCTTTCTCTTACTCTTTGGCACCAATATTGTCTCCAGAAAATCCACACGACAAAACTCGGTCTCTCTTTCCTTTATCGAAGTTGAATATAAGGCCTTGGGCAATGCCTCTACTAAGCTCATGTGGATAAAAGCTCACTTAAAGAATTGGATGTTTCTAATAATCAGGTTCCATCCTTATTATATGATAAGACTGGCACTACATATTTGTGTGATGATCCAGTTTACCACTCACGTATGAAGCACGTTGCCCTGGACTATTATTTTGTATGAGAACAAATCTTAGGTGGGCTTCTTCGTGTTTGTCATATCAACTCTCATGACCAACTTGTTGATATGCTCACTAACCCATTGTCGAAATCTCCATTTATTCGGAATCGATCCAAGATTGGTGTATCCACCATCTTGCGGGGACGTATAAGGGACACATATATCACCAGCTCCACGCAGTCACTACATAAAGAAAATATATATAGACTTATATTGTACACAATATCTTTACCTGTTATAGTTCCTTAATCACTATGTCAATTCCTCATGTAATCTCTCCATTACCTTGTTGTACTTCGCTTATAAATAGCTTTCACAGAAGATGTAATAGTATATTCTCAAAATCAACAATCTCTACATTTGTAGGTTGCACCCAAAAATTCCAAAATAATATAAAAGCTCTAATTCTCTAAAATTTCCGAGAATTTCAATTCCAAAAAAGTATTTTAACCGATTAAAATATATTAATATTAATCTATTATCCAGAAATTATTAATTGGTTAAAATATTTAAACTAATCATTGATATATTTTTAAAACTGATATTACATTTACAAAGGTGATATAATAAAATTAAAAGACTATCCAAGGTTTTAGTCGAAAACTTTCTCTATGGAGTATGGAGTATGGACAGTGACACTCATACGAACAAAGTATGACGTGGCCTTTATCCTTCCACGTGGGCATCCCATACTGACACCCTGACTATATTAATGCCAAATCGACTCAAACCCCCCATTCCCCTGGGGTTCCTTGATTCTTCAATCAAAAATCTGTCTTCACTCTTCCCCATTGTGCAAAGCAATACCACCGTATCGCCGTCGTACTACCACCATGTCCACTGCACCTGCGCATACACTGAACCTTTGCGGCGTTCTATCGGAGGCAAAGAGAATCGTTAATGCACACTCCCGTCACTTTCTCGCCTTATCCGTCATCTTCCTCCTCCCCCTCTCTTTCTCACTCATCATTTTCCCTACTCTCCAGCTCTCACTCACTCGATCCTACGTCGTTTCTACAAAGTTTTTCGTAGTGGATCCGCCGGATCTTCGTCAAAACCTGACAATTCATCTCCTCTATTCAGTTTTTGTCTACATCTTCTTCCTCGGTGCCATAGCCACAATTACCTACAGCACCTACCATGGCTTCTATGGAAGACCAGTCAAGTTTTTCCCCGCCATGAAATCCCTAATCTTCTCCTTCTTCCCACTCGTGTCGACCGCAATCGCTGCTCAGCTCATCCTATCCCTCATCTCGCTTACGTTCCTCCTGTTATTTTTGGTAATCATCAAGATTGGGGAAAACCTAGGGTTTGTAATTGAATACGACTCGAATTACTTTATCGCGTCATTCGCGTTGATGAGTGCAGCGCTAGCTTTTTTCCTAATCTATTTCCAAGTGAACTGGTCACTAGCTTGTGTGGTGGTTGTGGCGGAATCAAAATGGGGGTTTGAACCACTGTGGCGGAGTTCTTACTTAGTGAAAGGGATGAGATCTGTTTCGTTATCTTTGCTGTTGTTGTTCGGGATTCTGATTGGGTTTTGGGTGTGGATGAATTCGAATGATGTGATGCATTTCGATGCTGTTGATGGATGGAAGAGCTGGCCTTTTGGATTGCAGGTGGTTATTGGTACTAGTCTCTTGACTGTGTTATTGCTTCAGAATACAGCAGCCACTACTGTGCTGTATATGTACTGTAAGGCTTTACATGGTGAATTGGCCATTGAAATTGTTGAAGAGTTTGCTCGTGAGTATGTCAGCTTGCCTTTTGATGATGAAAAGGTCCCTCATGTTGTTGCCGTTGTCCCAGCTTGATGAATGATGATCGAGGTTAGTGGATTCTACTCCACAAATTAGGTTCTTGCTTTTATCAACTTACCTGTGGTTAACTGTTGTTAACCTTGTATTAGTAATATATATCTAGAATATCGGTTCTCTAAGTACCTTCTAATGTCTGAAATGAATATACAACTTTGGGATAACAACTGTGTTGAAATGTGTTGTCCCTTGATGGATGTATGCATTGTATCGTAGCTTTTGTAGCTTTATGTGTTGTATATAATATGACTATAATTTGCTGTTCTTGTTGTTACTTGCATTTTTTTGTGATTGTTACGAGGTTCGGACCATTAAAATCAAGAAATTTATGTCATTTAAACCATTGATTGTGTAAAGAATAAAAAGGTAACTCGTTTATAAGACATTCCCACCAAATCCGTTATTCCCACCACATACAGTACCATATATGTGGTGGGTACCACATCAGCATCACATTCTTCTAGTATGAGATACTTACCACTAACACACAACTCCATCTTATTTTTTTATTTAAATTTAATTCAAAAATACATTACAATCATTTTTTTAATACTAGTTTTTCCATTAATTTAAAATATCAAATTACATTAAATAAAAACTACATTAATTGAAATAAAAATAAATAAAAATAAAAATTACATTAGTTAAAATAAAAAAAAAATTAAAAAAAAAAAACTAAAAATTCCAACCATAAATAAATAAACTACCCCCTATGCCTACGTCGGGCTCGAATCAACTCTTTCTTCGCTTGGAAAAGTTTCAAATCTTCGCCCTCGAGGCCGTCCGCTTTCATTTTCAAAATTTTCATATTGGTTTTTGTTTAGAGCGTCTCTTGTGCCTCTTAAAATGATGATTGTGCTTCGATCATTTTTTGTTCCATCCGAGTCATCACCTCGGCCTTCGTTTCTTGAAGTTGCATATATAGATCAAATTTATCGCCAAACATATCCATCACACTAGAATTTGAAGATGTTGAAGCCGTTTTTTTTGCTTTATTTCTTCCAACGGGCAGACGAAGAGGTTGATTGTTTTCAAGATCTAGCGGATCGTCGTTGATATCGATGTGTGTTCGGCCGTTCGATTGTTGGGAAGTTGCATCGGGGTTTCTCGAACGCTTTGAACCGGAAGATTGTGAAGTGCCTTCCGTTTGCTCTTTCCATTTTGGGGCGCCTTTCAATTTTAGCCACGGTTTCATATACGGAAAAGCTTTGCGTGTTGGCGTTGTTTTTTCAAATTATTCCATGACCGCCTTGAAAACATCAAAATCGTTTGAACCACTTTTGCATATGTTTAGGAGATTGTTGTAGATTCCTCCAAACTCGGTGCATTTTAGTCGAATATCTCGCCATTTCGAAGTAATTTGATCGGCGTTTCGAGTTTCACTTTCCATTAACTCGTAGAAAATAGCTCGGACTTTTTCCCAAAAACATCCTTAAGGCTGACTATCGCCTACAATTGGATCTTGGGAAGCCGCCACCCATGCCTCCGCTAACTTTTCTTCTTCTTCTATTGACCATGGAACCCTTTCTTGGGCGATAGTGGGTCGGGTCGGTTTTTAACCATTTTTTTGGTTGAGGTGGTGGCGAAGGTTGTGTTTCCGCAACAAAATCCGGCGAAAGTGGTGGTTGTGAGTTTGGTGGTTGTGAAATTGGTGGTTGTTGTTGTGACGATTGTTGTTGGAGTTGTTGTAGTTGTTGAAATTGTTGAAATTGTTGGTATTGTTGTGACATTTGTTGTTGGAAAGATGGAAAAGGTTGATAGTGATGTTGGAAAAGTGGTGTTTGTTGGATAGGGGAACCGGTTTGAAGTAGATTGAGAAAACCGCCTTGAGGTGACTCCATAGTTGGGAATTGTCGAGGTGTTGTATCTAACGCAAAAGCGTTATCGGGTTTGCGATTTCTGTAGTTTGGAGGGGTATTTTGGTTGATCCATGATTTTTGGTTGTGAAGATGTAGTGTGTAGTTTGTGTATAGAAAAAGAAAAGAATAGTGTAAAAAATAAGGAGTAAAAATGTGGTATTTATAGGTAAATAAATTGTTTATTTATTTATATATTTTTTACAAAACTAGCCGTCCAACGGCTAGATAACGGTCAATTTATGCATCTTGAATCCCATTGGCCGTGCGAGTTCGTTGTCCCGATCACAACCCACCACGAAAACGAGCCACCACGAGACAACGGGGTGGTGTGCACGCCCGTTGTTCGTGGCCAGCTCGACCACGAAGCTCCTTGTCGAAGGTATATCGTTTGGCCTAAAGATGTTGTGGCACGTGACGTGGCATTTTGTTGGCAAACTTGTCCGAGTGTCGCTGACATGGCCTCCAAATGGTTTATTCTATTTTGCGGGTTTTATCCCACAATCTCGATATCTCACCCCAACAAATTTAAAAGTTTTTGTCTCTGTGTTCTTGAAGCATAATGAAGCAAAAGGACAATGAAAATGAAGATTGAAGCACCATGTTCGTCAACTTGACTTTGATTTATCATCCATCTCCTGCAACCACCACCACACTCAGTTGACACGGTCATCAACTCTAAATATAAAGTCGAATATAGTTCATTATTTATTTATTTATTTCAATTTAAGAAAATTAAAAATAAGAAATATATCCATGTTGTATCAATTTGGACCTACCCACTCCCAACATCTCAGGTGAAACCCATAAATAATGGGTATACACTCTTTAACATGCCATTTGCTAGTTTAGGGATTTAAACAGAAAAAGAAACTAATACCAAATAAGACTGAAAAGGTTGTTTGGTAGCCTTTTAATTTTTTAATTAAGAGGCAGATTCATAATGTTTAAAAGCCTCTTAAGTTTTGTCTCTCTTCAGTTTTAATTGTTCAGCAGACTTTTAACGTTTAAGAGAATGAGTAGTATTTGAATAAGATAAGATGACGTACTCTAAGAATATCTTAATTTTTCAGCAAATAATTTTCCTTCTTCTCTTTCTATTTCAAACGAACTCTTCATTTTTCCCTCATTGTCTTTCCGACCTCTTAAAAATTCAGAACAATTTAAAAATTCACATCATGCTAAACAACCTCTAAAATTTATAGTTTGTTGGGCAACCGGCACAATAATCCTATATGTTGTATTATACACTAACAATATGCTTATTTTTTTTATCTATAATGGTAAGGAACTCTGTATTTTTTATGAATAATAACATGTGACCTAAAACTTGTAAAATGTATGTTGTTTTTCGTTTATGTATTATCTTATTCGTAATATTTTAATAGCAACATACTTGTAATTCTTATCCACAATAACAACATACTTGCAATAACTTGCCAATCATAGCAAATGTGTCTTTTTTACCAATAACAGCATCATACAACATAAAACTTGTAAGTATTTTGTAAGTTCAAGAATATATTTCACTATTTACCAGTAAGAAAAAGTAAGTGCACCTATTAGACAGCGTTTGGCACTGGAACAAGATAGAACTAGATAAAATTGGACTATACTAAACTGGGACAGAACAAAATTATTTATAAAACGTTTGGTACGACAAGGACAATGAAATAACAAGATGGTACAATTACCAAATTGCCCTCCGTATTATTAAAATATGTACACCTTTTTTAAGCATATACTAATCATAAATCATATCATCCGTAATATATTAATATATATAATAATTATAAAGAACCCAAATACACAGTGGATTTGATGGATTCATTTGCCACTTTATTATGTTGGTACTTTCTTCATGTTCATATGCATATATATAAAAAATAAATAAATAAAAAACTGTCAGATATAATCCTGGATTTTCACTATTTTCTTCTTGATATATGAAATTTAAACCCAAAGGAAAAAAAAAAAAAAAAAAAAAAAAAAAAGGAAGCTCTACCAAGTGCACATCGGAGAAGGGTGGGGCTCACCAGAGTACCGTCAAGGAAGGTGATTCGGGACAGTGGAGAAGCGAGTCTCATGGGTATTTTTGTCATTTTATATTTTTTTAGCAAAAATTAGATGAAAGCTTATAAAACATGTAACTACTTGGTAGAGCACCTGGTAGTCTGGTAGACATGGCATTGATTTCTATAAAAGGTAATTAATTATAAAAACAAATTATTGAACGAGTTGAACTAGCTTTTGAATTATGAATTTTTTGTTATACTAAAACTAGAAGCTCCACATTTTCATTTTTTTTTTTCGGCCCAACAGTTCTGATTCTTTACCCGCTTACACAAACATGGCCATGCGTTCAAGAATCTGATTTTTCCTTGCGATAGTTTAACTTTTTCCACGATTCAAAAAAGAAAATTTTCAAAATTCAAATCTTTCTTTCAAATTTGGATGGAACCCTATCACTATCTTCCCCACCAGATGCATCATACCCATCACTCATGGATCTCATGAGTGCCAGAATCCCCTGGTTTTCAACCACACCAGACAACCCTACTCCTACATCATTATCTCCTCCTCTTCCCATAAACGACTGAATATCAGGCGACTCCATATCCAAACTACTATTATCAGGAGATGACATTGACATGGCTCTGTACACACTACGAGCTTCAAGCTGCAAAGGCACCAAATTTCCCGAACTACTCTCCTCTCTCACTCTATCGATCCCAAATTTTCTAGAACCTTCCCTATTGCTTCTTCCGAAGCTTCTGTCCCTTTCTCTTTCGATTCTGTTTGACTTTGACACCGGCTGCAAAATCTTTGACTTTTTTCGTGCCTCTGCAGCCGCTTTTGACACGTCATCACCATTCAAACGGGCCAAGGTCCATGGGCTGATTTTCACGCTTGTCGGGTTCTTTTTCTTGATCGGATCTCGATCTTCTATCGTTTTTTTACCTAACGAGCTCACTGAACTGGTTTCTGGTGGAACTACATCGTACTACAAAATCAAAACAAAATCCCATAAATATTTTCTCAATTAATTATGATATTTGATTAATTAACACATACCTGATCTTCAACAAAGAGTCGTGGAGGCGTACACCACGCTCCTTGCCGGAAAGTGTTGAAGGAGCT